GCCTAAATACCATCTATTGTTTAATACCACTGTCATCGAATATTGAGGAAAACTATATGGAGCCATGAACTGACAGAGCGATATGGAAGTTTGTGGCTGCAACAGACAGGCTTTCAGTCGTGATTACGGGATTCTCATTGATAATGCAAAACTGATTAAAGATCAAGCTCTTATGGTGGCATATTTTTGAAAAATATGGCTACTATAATTTTTTGCTCATCTAAAAAAGTTGATTTTGTTATAATTGCTGCATTAATTAATTATTTATTGTTTTAGTCAGTACGTATTTACTTGAGTATATCCATAGGTTTACCGCAGTTTGCCTTTAGATCGATGTTGTTGCTTTATTCCTTCTGACATTGGTGCAGATGATATCCGGAGATTTAGAGGTAGCGTTGCTTTGGTGTTTCTTTGAATATAACTATACCAGTTAGATCATATTTACGTCTGATGAAGTTAGCTTTGTCCAAAACCTGGTCTTCTATATCGAGAGAGCCTATCGCACTCCAGATTTTGGCATGTGGGAATGCGGCACGCGATATAACGATGGAACCTGTGAGCTCCATGCAAGGTGTCTTATTGCTGAACCGTAATTGCATATGACTGATGATGGAAGTGTTTAGTTCCATTGGAATGGTCAAAGCGGCTCTTGAAGCTATCAACGGCTTTAATCTATATGGCTCCAAAGGCACGGTCGGCAGCGTGATATACGTCGATATCGACGCCCACAACCGCAATCGGACCACTTTTGAAACACTGCTGCCAAGGGAATCTAATTCAAAGGTAATACTTTGTTCAAACTTCAAACTTATAACGTTGTCTTATAATGCGTTTTTATAATATTACTTTTTGAGTTGTTTCAAGACTTTTATAGAATGCCATGGGTTTTATTTAGCTTTAAATCAGGATTTCTGAGTTAGTAAACCACACTGAATTGATTCTCCATCTGAGACCGTTTGAGATTGTATCAGATTTAAAACTACAGCAACATTCTCTTAATTTTCGTTGAACCGCATTATGTAGGGTTACGTCGGAATATTCGCCATTTTATGCGACATTTTTCTAACTTGGTGAATGCGAGTTAATCGGCCGAGTAGGAAACAATGGTTAATGTGCTCCTTTCACGAACGACTATTTCACGTGGCAGCAAAAAGTCCAAAAAAGTTTGAAAGCGAGTTATTAGTGACAACATTCCTGTTACTTTCTATTGCATTCAAGCATGTATTCATTGTTCACTTGTTTACATAATATTTATTCCGCATTGTTACAATATTAGCTACCTGTGGGGTATTTCTGATCAAGCTCGATTCATATATACATTGGCCACATCATACCTGCAGAAAATTATTGCCTCACAACAATATTCTTTCTCTTTTTTATCGCTGCGTAGTGACAACCTTTTGCAGCCTGTAAAGACGTACTGGAAGCGAAAAATAGAAAGTCTTTAACCGTTTTGACGTTGCTCCTTTTCACTTTTGTTATTAAGGGGAATTGTTTTTAAAGTCTTTTCTCTGAAAAGTCCTACATCAGCGTCTCAAAACGATGCACGGGTGTCGACTGTAATGATAACCGAGTGCATTCTACGGCTGGTTCAACCGTGATGTCAAGATAAAGGTCTGCAAGCGCAGAAAAGGACTGAGGTCGTTCCTCTCAGGTCAGAGGTCACCCATATTTGAGGAGGTACAATTCACCATTGCCTCACTCGCAAACTGCTGGATTATGATGATGGCTAAAACAGTGCAATGAAGCGAACCTCGGTATCCTGCTCGTATATCTGCCCAAACAACGGCGGTATACGGAGTTTAATTGACAGGAGGCTATTTAAAGTCACAATAACATTAAGCATCAAAAATATGAATATGTCGTCTGTGACGTACTGCTACAGGACACTCACAGGAAATGTCGATTAAATATGTAATGTCATAGAAGTCCAAAATACGTACTATTACGTACTTGGTCTCAATGAAACATGGAGAAGCGAGGAGTTAAATAGTATATCGATGCATTATCATCAAACTAGGAAAAGGAGGAAGCGAAAAAACCTTTGAAGACTCGGCTTCATCATCAACAACGAAAGACTAGTGCAGGTCATCTGTCAGCAGAAGTCATCTCGACTTTGAGCACTCTGTCTACAACAGAGTGACATAGACTCGCATAGTCAAGGTCATTTATGTTTTTGTTCTCAGGAGTACAAGCGGAGAGGACGATGTAGATAAATACTACTATGAACTTGAGCCTGTATCGATTCAAAAATCAAAAGTCTACGTGCCCCATCATTTTGTGTAATCTTTATGCTAAAATTGGATGAGAAAAAGGAAGCAAAAATTTCATTTATTGATGCGACATTGGAAAATGCATTTCAGAAAAAGAAACATTAGTAACGATGGTGAAGACTTCAGTCCGATACTAGCATCGAGGCAAGGTCAGATGGCACCGAACGCGTCCAAAGGTTTCGGATAAGATAAGAGGGTTAGCTGCGAAATAAGCAGAGAACCCGACGAATTAGCATTTGCCGACAACGTGACGAGAGTGCTCGAGGG